TATCCTTTGTGAAATTCTAAATTTATACCCGTCAAAAATACCGGATCCGTTCGGATCTTTTTCTGCGGAACACTAGTTATTATTATTCATAGCGTTAATACAAGTAATAATTTATTAAAAATTTAAAAAAATAAGTGAGTGAAAAAAAAAACGATTGGCGATTTCAAAAAATGCCGTAAAAAACAGAAAAGATCAAATACAAGTACAAGAAACTGAACACAGATGTGGATCGACTATATATTTTGTTAAAAACATTTATCATTATCATTCTTTAGCTAAAAAATAAACCTGATTTTAATGTTATTATCACTGGGTTTTAATTATGATGTAGGCTACTTTTTTTTGTGGGTGATACTAGGTTTGCTACGTAAGCATATATATGAATGAACTTTGTTCTATGACAAAGTTCTAAAATGAACCCAAATTAATTCAAGTTCTAAGACTAATTTAATAGGATGATTTTATCCATAAGGATGTATATAGATAGATAGATAGATAATGAAAGCAAAGATATTTGAATTTTGTAGAACAAAATACTCATTGTGAACAAAATTTATTAAATTTTTCTTAATTTTCAATTTGGTTAATAATATATATATAGAATTTCAAAGTCTATATACGGGGAAAACTTATTATAAGTTTGAAAAAAAAACTATATAGTAAAAATAATAAATATATGGTAGAAAATTAAAAAATTACATAAATATGTACAAAAAAAAAAAAAAATCTTTGATGTATATAAATAAAATTTTCTACCGCATATATATATATGTGTGTATGTAAAAAAAAAAAAACGTTTACTACAAAGATCATTACAAAGAAAATATTTTAAATAATTCTAAATAAAAATGAGTTGAATGCAACTATGAACAAATGAAAGTGGATTTTTGCTTTTTTTTTCGTTGTGTATATAAAAGAATGTATGTTATATGAAGGAAAAAAAAAGTAAATGTATGTATTTTTTTATAACGTTTTCTTTAAAAGGGTAAAAAGGAATATGTACTTTGGAAGATAGGGTAATGAAGAGTATATATTATGCTTGCATGCAATGTATAAAATGAATGAATGTATGTATGTATCTATATAATAATGTACAAGAAATGCATCGGCGTATATCTAGAATATATTTAGGAATGTCAGATTAAGTGACATGTTGGTTGGAAATCTATTTATTATTATTTTTTTTTTCTTCATCATCATTCCCGGAAGGTTTACGATCCAGAATCTATGAATGATAATCTATGAATGATAAATTATTCATCATCATTCCCTGAAGGTTTTACAATCCAGAGTCTATGAATCATATCATAAGCACGTTGTTCGTTCAACTGTTTTAAACAAATTTCAACAGTATCATCCCATTCTTTTTCGTTGAAACCAATATCGGATATAACTCTTCTAAGATTTCTAGAAGCCCAACCATATAATTCTTGATATAATTTTCCAAGTTTGCCACCCCATTCGCCAATTGCTATTTTTCTTTCGTTGTGATTTATTTCAGAGGTGCAGAGGCTAGTAAGAAGTTTTGTGATAAGAGGGGATACAACAACTTCCATGTTTCTTTGAGTGCGTAGGAAATCACCAACTATTAAGTATCAAATAAATAAATAAATAAAGGTTAATAATTGTAAAAACTCAAGTATAATAATTTCAAATATGAAAGATGAATTATAAAAATAAATTTAGTGTATCTATTGATGAAGTCACACTAAACATATTAAATTTCAATTCATCGAGTAACATTCAACGGGTAAATATACATACTTGAAGATTTATTAAATGGACCTTCATTGTACCATTTAAAGTCAGTTTCCATTAATTCAATATAACCACCTTTTTTTGTAACTCTTAAAATTTCTTTTAAAGCACGTTCCCAATCATTAATTGTGAAAGCAAAAGTCATGAATCTCATATAAACAAAATCAAAAGTTTCATCTTCAAATGGTAAACCACTAAGAACATTTGCTTGACGGAATTTTACATTGGTTGGATGAATTTCGGAAGGGTAGAGTGGTGCAATATCTACACCTACGAATTGTGGACGTTGATGTTCTGTGGCCATTTCCAAAACCCAAGCACCGGAACCACAACTAATTAAAAAAAATATATAATATATGTATGCATATAGATTTATAATATGTATATATATATATATATAGAGATTGATATGTAGAGTTTGATATATATAGATTGATATATAGATGATACATAATTATTTATTAATTAATTAAATATAGAAAGAGTTTTATAGTTATAGATGGTAGATTTAACTTAGACTTACTAAATAATTAATCGAAAAATTGTTATATAGTATATTAATCACATCTTAAGGATATCTTAAGGGTATCTTAAGGATATCTTAAGGATGCGGTAACGGCCTATGCCGTAACGAGTTACGGCATATGATTCAAATATTACGGCATACCACACTTTTAAATTAATAATAATTTGTTTAAATTAATAATAATTTGTTTTGTAGATAATCATTTTATCACTGAAATAAACTGTATCAAAACATAATCTTAATTACTGATGTTAATACGTACTAATATGCACGTAATAATATTATTAATATATAACTAACGCTAATACGTACATATGTATTCTGAATATGAATATTACGGAATATTACAGGGGGTGTGGTTTTTTTTAATGGTCACACAATCTCTATATCCAGATTCAAAATGCAACGCCATTGCTATCATCCAAATTTGGTTGACAGGGAAAAAGTTCGCGGTATATTGCACCGGATCGACAGATAAAAAGTTATTATTGGATAAGTATTTATATGAGCTTTCTTTATTATCTTTAAATAGTATTCTAAAACATTCATTTAACTTATTTCAAATGAGTTGCTTAGTAACAGATAAGAAGTGCTTATTTATTCGCTTTGTTCCATTAAGTCATCACAAATCACACAACCTTAGACCACGTTTTTCTACTATAATTAAAGTTTTCTCATTATTAAACTGTCCATCCATTATTTCATAGTTACATAAAAAAACTTTTTCGATAAATTTATAAAATCGTCTTTGTCTTCAGTTTTAACATTGTATAACCTCTATTTCCTATTTTACAGCTGTATAGCAAATTAAAAGGTTTCGTTGTTAAAACCTTGTAAAAAAAAAAATAAAAAAAAATAAAAAAATGTAATGTGTTGTACCCTTATTATTATATCTCGTGTTGCCATATCCTTTATCCTTATATAAAACCTATGTATCCCTTTCTCGAAAATTAACCTTCCTCTCAACTTCTTATATTTTTTCGTTCATAGGAAGATACCATCTGGATACATTTACTTTCGTTGATCGAATATTTTAGAATTTACATACAATAATTTTAAACATAGATCATAGACTCATAGAAAATTTTATTATACTCTCTATATTAGCATTTGATTACATAACATTATATTCATACACTCTTACAACGATTATATAAACATCAGTAATTTATAAAAAAAAAAAATTATATGTAAAAATGGGTAAATCAAATTCAAAATCTATTCATTCCTCTCCTTCCCTAACTTCCATATCATCGGGAACATCAATTCCAAGACTTCTTAGAACGCATCGTCAAAAAAATTCTTCTAGTTCTGCTTTCACTTATTTTTCATCAAGTTCTTCAACCCATTTATCTATAAATTCTCCAAATTCTTTAAATTCTCATCTTGAATCCATGTCAAAATATCCTTCTTCATTACATGAGAATAGTATCAATTCTGAAGATTTTGATACTTTTCAATATATTGGAAATCGAAAATATTGTAGGAGTGGAATTGAGGATGTGAACTATGTGTATCCAGTCGATGATGATGAAGTTGATCGGTGCCAAATGCAACATTTTTTAATGAAACATATTTGGGAAGGTAATTTCTCGGCTCCTGTTGAGGAACTCTTATCCAGTCATAATACTAAAGTCCTTGACATTGGGTACGTATTTTAATCATGTGACTTCGGCCTTTCCCTGTTTGTATTCATTTAATTGGTTTCGCAACTGCATCTAATCAATTATCAAACTCTTTCTATATTTAATTAATTAATAAATAATTATGTATCATCTATATATCA